CACTGAGCCTCTTGGGCTTGCCGATTGGAAGGTGGGCGGTTTGAATTCCCACGACAGGGTGAGATCCTATTCCAGCTCCTGCCAACCTAGCAGTCTGAAAGCACGCCAGTGCAAGTAGATAAATAGGTACCACTGTGGCGGGAAGGTAAACTGTGTTCCTTTGCACCAGAAGCAGTTTAGTCCTGCTGGCCCCATGACCCAGAAAGCTGTGTGTGGACAAACGCCAGCTCTCTCGGCCTGAAAGTGAGATGAGCGCCGCAACCCCATAGTTGCCTTTGACTGGACTTAACTGTCCAGGGGTCCTTTACATTACTGTCAGAAAGCTCTTCCTGATGTTTGGTCGGAATCCCCTTTCTTGCAACTTGAAGCCATTGGTTCGAGTCTTCCTGCCCTCCATAGCAGGAGAAAACAAGCTTGCTCCATCTTCCATGCGAAAGCCCTTGAGATATTTGAAGAGTGCTGTTGTTTCAAAAGTGAGGTAGCGCTCACTTTTAAGATCTGAATTTCAAAATGCTGCAACATGTTGTTGGACTGTAACCCCCATCATCTCTGACCATAGGACATGCTGGCCAATGAAAGGAACTGCAGTCTAAGGGCCACACATTCCTTGTCTCTGGCCTAGGTACCTTGTCAGTGCCAATCTGGGGGGTGGGAGGCAACATGGATATTGTTGTTGTTGTTTAATCGTTTAGTCGTGTCCGACTCTTTGTGACCCCATGGACCAGAGCACGCCAGGCACTTCTGTCTTCCACTGCCTCCTGCAGTTTGGTCAAACTCATGCTGGTAGCTTTGAGAACACTGTCCAACCATCTCGTCCTCTGTCAGCCCCTTCTCCTTGTGCCCTCCATCTTTTCCAACATCAGGATCTTTTCCAGGGAGTCTTCTCTTCTCATGAGGTGGCCAAAGTATTGGAGCCTCAGCTTCACGATCTGTCCTTCCAGTGAGCACTCAGGGATGATTTCCTTCAGAATGGATATAGGTTTGATCTTCTTGCAGTCCATGGGACTCTCAAGAGTCTCCAGCACCATAACTCAAAAGCATCAATTCTTCGGCAAAAGAACATGGATATACCCCCCTCTATTTCTCTAGGGTTTTGTAACGGTGAAGGACTGCTGTCAGTTTATTGCTCGTGAGAAATCATTAAAAGCGGTTGTCTGATGAAACCTAGAGCTGTTTGATCATTTCTTAGAAAAATTGCAGGAGGGGGAGAGAAAATGTCTTGTTGAACTTCAAAGACTAACATGGATGACGGTGGGGTTTTGATGCAACGTGCTAACATACAGACACCCCCCCCCCGAAATGGTTAGAATACAGTGGTACATCGGGTTAAGAACTTAATTCTGAACTTAACCTGAAACTGTTCTTAACCTGAGGTACCACTTTAGCTAATGGGGCCTCCCGCTGCTGCCGAACGATTTCTATTCTCACCCTGAAGCAAAGTTCTTAACCCGAGGTATTATTTCTGGTTTAGCGGAGTCTGTAACCTGAAGCGTCTGTAACCCGAGGTACCACTGTAATGGGTTTTGCTAATTATCAGACCTTTCACAAAAATCCACCCAGCAATAGCTTGTCAATACAGGAGGGCAATTTCACTTGGGGGCTTCCAGCCTCATTCTGTATTAGCAGCCTAGATCCTGACATGAATATATTCTATCAAAGCACCTGTGATGTGCTGTCGGGTGGGAGAGGAGGAATGCACAGCTATTAAAAACTTAGTTTTCCCCAGGTGCACATCAACTGATCAGGGCCAAAGACTTCAGCAGTTAAAACCTGACATTAATTTGCTGGAAGGATGCTTAACAATCGTATCACCTTGAGACAAACATTATGCAGACAAACACCAGCTAATATGAGACGACGACGCAAGCCCCCTCTGATTGTTATTCTTATACAGTTATAGGGCAGCAGGCGGAGCTTTCTTCGATTTATTGATGATGTGCAAAATTCCTCCTTGCTATGAGGCTGACGTTGACTCACAAGATTCGCCAGGTGAAATCTGAACGTCAGGACAGAGGGATTTGGGAGTCGTCCAAATGGGGCCTATTCCCAGCACTCAGTCAGGTTGGACACAGACCAAGGGAGTCCGCAGCTTGGGAGAGAACCTCCCTGGCATGACCAGGGGCAAACTTTGGTCATCTTTCATTCATTCATATATATATATCTGATATATATATATATATATATATATATATACTTTTTAACCCTAGAAAAGAGGTTAAAAAGTCAGGGGTCGTCTTATACTCTGGGTATGGGCGGCGGGCGGCAGGCTGTGTGCCGGGAGAAGGCCGCCTGGCGCGGAGTCCGCCCCCCGCTGCTTCGGAAGCAGCAGTGGTGGCGGCGGCGGGCTCTGTTCTGAGCCGAGTGGCTTTCTCCGGCGCGGAGCTGCCCATCGTATTAGGCGACTGGGCTTATAAGACGAACCCCCAAATTGGCAGCTGCCAATTTGGGGGTTCGTCTAATATGCCCAGTCGCCTAATACGCCGGAATCTATGGTAATCCTTTCCTCCTGCATCTTTTATGATAGTCCAAATTCTTTACCTCTTGCATTATGTCCAGAATTCAACCTTATATTATTTTAAACGATATACCAACAATGAGGGGTTTGACAATGGGTCGACATAAATGGGCTCTCCGCACCCTTACAGTGGTGCTTCAAGTTAAGAACAGTTTCAGGTTAAGAACGAATTAAGTACCGTATTTTTTGCTCTATAAGACGCATCAGACCACAAGACACACCTAATTTTTGGAGGAGGAAAACAAGAAAAAAAATATTCTGAACCTCAGAAGCCAGAACAGCAAGAGGGATCGCTGCGCAGTGAAAGCAGCAATCCCTCTTGCTGTTCTGGCTTCTGGGATAGCTGTGCAGCCTGCGTTCGCTCCATAAGACGCACACACATCTCCCCTTACTTTTTAGGAGGGAAAAAGTGAGTCTTATAGAGCAAAAAATACGGTACTTAACCCGAGGTACCACTGTACTTCTGCTCAAAGACTCATACCCGCAGCCTTCAAATGCATGTTTCCTGAGATAGCAAACTCGCCTTGAATTCTGTGCAAAAGCATCTATTATTACAGCTTCACAACTAGGCCTGGATCTCTCCCCTTTATTTCAAAGTGCATCTTATATCCTCACCTCCATCCAAAGAGGTCTTTGTGTTAGGCCTCTCTCTCCACCCCACATCCTAACATCCCTCTAAGGTGGCTTCAGAGACAATCCAAAGGGTCACACACAGAACTTCCTGGTGAAGGTGGGTGTTATGGAAATTACGGGGGCGGGGCACATCTTTAAAGTTGTTAAATGTTACAAATATTATGCCTGAGTGTATCCTTTCAACTTGACAGCTCAGGGAAGTTACCTAGCTTTAAAAACAATATAAAATCAACTCCTTTGCCAGTTTCCTCCATTCCAAAGCTATTTTCCCCTTGAAAAAGGACTCCAGGAAGTTCCCAGAGGTGACACTTGCTGAGCTGATTGTTGGCCAAGGAAAGCCTAATCCCATCACCAAACTTGGGTCCAGACATACAAAGGAAGTTCTATTGTATTATGGGTGGTGGGCCTTCAGAGGTGTTTGCCTATGCTAATCTTATACCTGGGTCTTGCCCTGATATGTCTGCTTATGCTAATTTTGTACCAAGGACTTGTCTGGAAATGTTTGCCAAGGTCAATCAATCAATCTTTATTACGGTCCAGAGACCCAACAAATTGTTACAAAGCAATACACAATTCATTCAGCCTACCTCCAGGTTAAACAAGCATTTTGTTCAGAATATAGGGATCATTGGTTCTTGCAACCACCGATAAAAACTTTGCCACTGCTAATGTTCTAGCGTTTGTCCAGTCTTCCAATAGGAACCTGACATAGTGAGCCTCTGATTTTCCCGAGAAAGGTACCAGCAACGGTAATATCAGTTCAGCCCTGGCACAGTGCAACAAAATATGTTTTATTTTGCACAGTGCAACAAAATATGTTTTATGGAATCGATGTCTTGAGCACACGAGCAAAGTCTGTCCTGGTAGGGAACTCCTCTCAACCTGCCAACCAGCACTGCAGAAGGAAAGACGTTTAGTCTGGCTTTGGTGAAAAGCCTTCGATAGTTTGGTACTGTCAGGTTTTTAATGTAAGTTGTTAACTTAAAGACATACCCATATTGTACTCCTGCTGCCAGCGGACTGCAGACTTGGCACTGCCAAGGTTAAACTAGTGTAACCCCTGTCTACCCTTCCCCTTTGGTGACATGTCAGTGATGTAGCAATGATGCTGTACGAACTGTATTCTGGGATATGATGGGAAAGTTTTAAAAGTCTTTGTCACCCCATCCTCGGGGTTCAAAATTCCTCTTTGAACCTGTTGCGCAATAAACTTTGGTCTACAGCTATTTGCTCCGGTTGGTGGCTGGACTCCTTCCTTTATTCCGCAGGGACCCGTGGGCTCTGCCCAAAGAGCTGGGTGACTGAGCAGCCTCACACCTACATTTTCCCGTAACAGTGGGGATTTCATAAAGTCCTAGAATTGTAGAGTTGGAAGGGACTCCAAGGGTCATCCAGTCCAACCGTGCAGGAATTATTATTTTTTTTGCCCAACGCGGAACTCGAATCCACGACCCTGAGAATAAGAACCTGCAACTGAAGCCAGACAGTCTGGATCAAGTCTGCTCGCGTCATGCATTACTCCGGGAAGAAAGAGACGTGTGGACCCCATGCAATGTTTGACTCACTCTCTGCCTTTTGCACGCGCTCGATAGGATTCCCTCTTGCAAACAGATCCCTCCCCCCGCACTCCCTTCCTTAGAAGAAAGCCGACTGGCTTTAATGATCCAGCCTTTTACCAGCTTCCTCCCTCCCGTTCTGCCTGCTGCAAAAATACCTCTCTCCAACTCCCCACCCCCATTATAGAGAAAAAAGGGCAGCCCCCGACCCGCCTCCCCAGGTCACCTCTTCCCAGCGATGGTCAAGGGAGGAGCGGCCTGTCCATCACCGAAAGAGGCGGGGCTAGAGGATCCTGCTCTCCTCCCTTCCCTCCCTCCCTCCTTCCTTTCTCCCTTCCCTCCACCTTTCTCTCCCCTTCCCAAGTTTCCGCTCCTCCCTCCTTCGCGCGAACCGTCCCGTCGCTCCTGCTCGGCGCCGGGGGGGGCTAATTCGGTGCCAAGGCGGATTGCTCAGCCGGCGTCGCGCTCCCGAATCGGGAGAGAGAGGAGGAGGAGGAGCCGCCGCCGCAAGAACTGCTGCAGTGTCCTAGGAAGGAAAAGCAGCGTCTGCAGGGGGTGAGGTTTGGCACCTGGCCGGTAGAGGGGGCTGCAGGGCATTGTGGGGGTGGGGGTGGGGGTGGCAGAGGCTGCAAATGGATGGTTTGCATGATCAATGCCCAAACCCGCGCGCCGGAGTTCCAGAATGGAACGTTGATCATCTCTGGACGTTCCATAGAACGCGCAGAGAAATCCTCCTCCGCTCCTGTTAGATACCCTCCGTCGTTTCGATGGCGTTCTGACTGCAAGATCCTGATTCGAGGGCAGAATATTCCGATTTATTCATTTATTTCGCGTGCTTGTGTGTGCGTGAGATTTTGGTGCTAGAGATGCTCCGGCACAGGCTCTTAAAGGGAAAGCGGTTTTACGCACAGGCCAAGTGCGGGATCGAGGTAAGTTTTAGATGGCTGGTGAATGATAAGGACTTTATTTCTCCGTGATAGTTAGATGGATGGATGGATAGACAGACAGACAGTGCTTTTTTCTGGGGAGACGAAGCGGTACACATACCCCCTAATCATTATGTGAATCTTTGTACTTTTGTCCATTTACTGTATTTATTTTTCCCAATTTGAACTATAAAATGGTAATTTTCTTGAGTGAAAATGAGAGTACCCCTGAACATTTTTAAGGGGGTGGGGGAAGCACTGTATAGATAGATAGAAAGATAAGAGTGCTTTTTTCTGGTGGTACGCAGGGGTACACATACCCCTAAACAGTTTGGCCTCATATTTCAATATGAGTAGGAAAATGAGAGTACCCCCTAAACACTTTTTAAGAAAAAAAGCACTGGGTAGGTAGATAGATTTTATTTAATCTTTATTTTTTTTATAATTTGTATACAATTTTCTGTTTCACAGTTTTGAATACTCATTTAAACATCTCTAAAATATCAATGACTTCCCTTCTTCTCTCTTCATAGTTCAATTGGCATACCATATATCCCTGCCTAGTTTACACAAACCAAACCATTCAGTATTCCGTTATTACATTCATCAAAACTTATTTACCCTGTTGAATTTATCTTAATGCTGCCAACGGTAGATGGATGGTGCTTTATGACATTTAGGAAATGTCAGCAGCCCAGTGCTGCTTCTGAACTGGGGAAGGAATATTATCCCCTGCGGGGTTCCTTCCCTACGTTGGATATGAAATTTGACTTGAGTGTAACCTCCTGTCCTTTCAGGGTTAGGGGAATAGGGTCTTAAAAACTACCTATATTGTAGTACATGTGTAGGCAAACTAAGGCCCGAGGGCCGGATCCGGCCCAATCGCCTTCTAAATCCAGCCCGCGGATGGTCCGGGAATCAGTTTGTTTTTACATGAATAGAATGTGCCCTTTTATTTAAAATGCATCTCTGGGTTATTTGTGGGGCATAGGAATTTGTTCATTATTTTTTTCCAAAATATAGTCCGGCCCCCCACAAGGTCTGAGGGACAGTGGACCGGCCCCTGCTGAAAAACTTTGCTGACCCCTGTTGTAGTATTTTACAAGCGGAGGGCACAAGGAGCAAATAGGAGTTCAACTATACCAAATATCTACTTAAGAGTTATATGCCCTATAGCTAGCCATTAGGGAGCGCTGCTTCTTGGGTTTTCCTCTTCTAAAAAAACCCAACCCATTGCACCTTCTGAACGTCCAAAGCCCATAGACTGACAAAGATGGGCATGTGTCTGTGTTTGGGTGTAGTATTTGTGTCCATATGCCTGATCGTGGGTTTCCTATGTTCATAATTGTGGTGCATCTCTATACAACTCAGATAGACTTATAAGGTGCATGGGTGTTCCTCACTTAAAGCACACCCTTCTATGCGTCTACGCAGAAGTAAGTCCTGCTGCGTTAAGTGTACATAGGACAGCGCCCTTAATGTCTCTGTCATGCAACATCCCAGCAGCCTGTGATGTTCTGAAAGCTCGCTCTGTGTTTTGATCGATATATCGATATACCATCCCAAACTGGTTTGAAGTCCATATCACGATGTTGGTTTCATAATTTTTGACCTGGCATTGTATTGCGAATCATGATGTGTGTGTGTGTGTGTTATGCAAAAAAAATCACAATAGAGGGGGGTGGACTGTGAAGCCGGCCAAGGCCTCTACATAGCTCCATCCTTATTTCAGACATTGTGATATATCAGTATATTGCGGTGTTTAAGGTAAAGGTAAAGGGACCCCTGACCATTAGGTCCAGTCGTGACCAACTCTGGGGTTGCGGCGCTCATCTCGCTTTATTGGCCGAGGGAGCCGGCGTACAGCTTCCGGGTCATGTGGCCAGCATGACTAAGCCACTTCTAGAGAACCAGAGCAGCGCACGGAGACGCCGTTTACCTTCCCGCCGGAGTGGTCCCTATTTATCTAATTGCACTTTGATGTGCTTTTGAACTGCCAGGTTGGCAGGAGCAGGGACCGAGCAATGGGAGCTCACCCCGTCGTGGGGATTCGAACCGCCAGCCTTCTGATCGGCAAGTCCTAGGCTCTGTGGTTTAACCCACAGCACCACCCGCATCCCATTGCGGTGTTTAGCTGGTGATATATCACAAAGTTGAAAACCAGCCCTACCCACCAGTAAAGCACCAGTCTTCAAGGGCCCAGAGATTCACATTTGTTTCCAAGCACTTGTTCAGAAGTAAGTTACGCCAGAGCTGTTGTACTCTAAAGCTATTCTTTTCAAAGTGTACGACACAACCTTGGACGACATTGTGAGATGTGATTAAGGGCAGGCTTCCAGGCTTCTTCTTGTGTGTCTCATGACCAGGATAGAGAGGCAGAGTGCTCACTCACCTTTTCTAATTAATTGTGGGGATATCTGGGTACAGTAAGTTATCTGATGGCTAATGGATTGCTCCTCTATATTTTACAGACCTTCCTCTGTCTAGTTACCCCTCACAAGCCTTCCATCTCACTTACCCGAGAGTAAGCCCCTCTGAAATCCATGGGACTTATTTCTGAGTAAACATGCCTACAGATGCACTGTAAAGTGCTCAACTGGGGGGGGAATATCCTCAATACAAATAACTGCTTTAAAAAAAGAAGAATTAACTATCATATGCAGTAGCCTAAACAACAGATGTTAACATTGATTTTATTGATCTCTCTTCACCATTCAAGGTCAGAAAGCCATGAACAATAAAGGGAGCAAAAAGCTGGTGAGAGATAAGAAAATATTTCATAATGTTGCTGTGAATTGTATTTATTATCCTGTATTACTTTGGGCTGCTTAGGAAGAGTTGTACCTCAACAGTACAGCACTGTGTTTCCAAACTGGGGTCTCCTGCTGGTTTTGAACTACAATTCCCATCATCCCTGACCACTGATCCTGCTAGCTAGGGATGATGGGAATTGTAGTCCAACAACACCTGGAGACCAAAGTTTAGAAAACACTGGTATAGCACGTCCTCTGCATGCAAAAGACGGCAGATCCAGTCCAGGACATCTTCAAGTGAGGTTCAGAAAGACCCTTGTCTGAAACCCCACAGAGCAACTGCCCATCACTATAGACAACACTGAGTTAAGAAGATGGTCCGACTGATAAAAATTGACTTCTAGTTTTCCATAGCATGTGTTTCTGAAAGCTTGTGAACAGCCATTTTCTTTTAGGTATAAGCTTGGAAGCAAAAGCTGCCGTTTTAGAGGGATCTGTTAGAATCGGGGCTTGTGCCAGATTCTTCTATGTCGATCAGCAGTTCCCAAACTGTGTTCCATAGACCACCACTGATTCCTGTGCACCATTTGAGTCGTGCGCCTGTGAAAAACAGTCAGTGCAATGGCTGTGAACAGCAGACAAAGCGCGTTAAATATCAGACTTGTTTTTAATTGTATTGTTTTATTTTTGTTTCCATTTTTCCATTTTATTTTATTATTTCATCTATGGAATTCAAATTGTGCTGTGAGAAAAAGCAATATAAGGAAGAAAAGAAGCAGTAGAAATTATAAGACAACATCGAGTAGAATTGCTATAGCAGGCAGAAAAACCATGAAGTGGTCTGCCAGTGGTACGTTTGGGGAAAAGTTTGGGAACCACAGATGTTGCCTGGAAACATGGTTTCCATGTTGTTTGAAGCCAAACCATAGCTTAGCGTGAACACATGAGCTCCTGGAGAGAAGATTGCGGCTGCTTTGCTCCTCCTGAAATCATTCTGCTGCTGAGCTAAGCCATGGTTTGTCCTAGCAAGTCATCTAAACCTGGCTTTATGGTTTAGCTTACCATGGTGCAGCAGCAGAATGACCAGTGAGGAGCAAAGAGATCTCCTGGAGCCTGCCTGCCTGCCTGCCTGCCTGCCTGCCTTCCTGCACATTCATGCTAAACCATGGTTTCACTTAGTGTGCCGTGCAAACCAGGCCACCATGAGAGATGTCTGAGCGGTTGACCAAGTCAAAATGGTTGCTTGCGTGATTCACATTTTCTTTGGCGTATTCGGGGATAGAGTGCCAGTTTCGGATACTGCTGAACAGTTTCAGTCGAGAGCTTTCCGTTACGCAGGCAGAATGAAGAAGACCAATCTTCTCGTGCCAAATTTTTGTTTTGGGTTGTGGAGTGGAAGCACGAGATTGCAGAATCTCCAAGTTCTCTTCTCTTTCCCCTTCCATCCTCTGCTGTAGGGGTGAGGAACCTTAGGCCCAGGGACCAAATACAGACCTCTCTGTTTAGCCTTTGAGACTTTTCCCAAACCCCTCTCCCGGAGTGCTCTCGTTCTCTGTTCTGTTAACGTTCACAATCTCATCATGCTTTGCAAATATTTTAACTCTCCCTTTCAAAAGATCCGTACAAGCATCTTTCCCTTTGTGCGCTCTCTCTCTGTTGCATAATATTTCACCGGGGAAGTAGATTGTTGGTGACAGCTGATCTCGTCTTAACCCGGGCAGAAATGCATAGTAGTTCTACAGCTTTGAATATTGAAGTTCACATTGCGGTCCCGAGGGCTATGTGTTATTAATAAAAATAGGGAGTTACTTTTTTGGCTGGGCACATCTATCTTTGCTTTTGAAACGGATGTTCAAAATCTGACACCATAGCTCTGTTTGAGTAACCCATAATCATCACACCCTATATTCTGCTTAGAAAAACATTGGCACATCCGTGTCTTTTCTTTTTCTGTCTTCAGTGGGAGAATTGAGCAGGTGTTTGTGTTTCTCCAATTAATGTACAATACATTGCACCCACTCCCCACTGAAGTTGCATTTATGCCAAGCCAAGCCATGGTTTAGGAGAGAATGTGCAACCATGTGGCTCCTCATTCTTTCTGCTTCTGCGTTGATTTAAACCATGGTTTGCCTTAGTGTTTCCTCTGAACCTGGGCCCATGGTTTCACTCTTCCCAGACGAACTATGAACTGTGACCAAGGTCTGCCCTATGGGTTATGGCTTGTGGTTTGCCTAGAAGAGAAGAAGAAGAAGAGTTTGGATTTGATATCCCACTTTATCACTACCCGAAGGAGTCTCAAAGTGGCTCACATTCTCCTTTCCCTTCCTCCTCCACAACAAACACTCTGTGAGGTGAGTGGGGCTGAGAGACTTCAAAGAAGTGTGACTAGCCCAAGGTCACCCAGCAGCTGCATGTGGAGGAGCGGGGAAGCGAACCCTGTTCACCAGATTACGAGTCTATCGCTCTTAACCACTACACCACACTGGCTCTCTAGGAGAGCTAAGCCACGAACTTGGGTTTGGACAACACACCAAGCCAAAGCTTAGCACAACATGCTAATGAGAGACTTAACGTTGTGACTATCTGATGTGAAGGAGCAGCCCAAATGTGGATTCCACTTCTGTGTATCCACCACACTGCAGTTCTGCCATGAATGCAGATACTAAATGCAGTTACATCAAAGGATGTCTTGGTACCTAATGTGGATTTGCTTTTGTTGGCGTGAAAACAACTCAAAACACCTTATGTCTCTGGTTTGAAATACAGCATCAGTCAGTCAGGTATGAAAAATACATGGCATTCCTGGTGAGTTGTAAGGGATACGATGTAATGGATACTTGAAGTGCCTTAGGGCTTGCAATTTGCAATAGGTCTACGTCCTTTTTGGCCATATGATTCCCACACCACTTCTATGACATCGGAGGATGCCGAAGAAGTCTAACAAAAACAGGAGATGAAGTTGCTGGCTTTTGCTTTCGCTTAGTCATCCCGTGTCTCGAATGGAGGTCAGTCGGTGCTCAAGATTGCTGTGTGCTGCCGCTGTTGCTTTTAGTCCAACAAGCGACATGCAATTGATTCCGCTTCTCGGCGCATCTGTATTGTGCTCTCTTTGCGTTGAAGTGAATGGACTGGAGTAATGTCATGGCAACAGCGGACAGCAAGGCAATTAACATAGCTATTGGCAGAAGACGGACTGCAGTGGAACAGAAACAGTGCTGCAGACTGGTGGAATTAGAAGTGATGGCCTTCGTCCACCCCTAACGGCATCAGGCAAGACAGACAGGGGACAATTTTGCCGATTTGCCGCAGCCCGGCCAACTTTGTCCCGTGCTGTGTTCTTGATGGCTTTCAGAAAATTAAATACAGCATGTTTGAATTTTAGCTGTATTGTTTTGTTACTTTTTTTGTGTTTGCCATCCTGCGCTCCTTTGGGGAGAAGGGTGAAAGGAATATAATAAATGCCTATTTATATGGTAGCGTAGGAGTTATGCAGCAACCTGGGAGCTTAGCTCATGCTTGCCTTGCCTCCTGATCACACCCCCTCATGATAAAAGGGTCCCTGAGTGAGTGAGCAATTGTGAGAGCCTTACTACCACTTCTGGGATGCGGGTGGCATAATGGGTTTAAACCACAGAGCCTAGGTCAGCGGTTCGAATCCCCGTGACGGGGTGAGCTCCCATTGCTCGGTCCCTACTCCTGCCCACCTAGCAGTTCGAAAGCACGAAGTGTAAGTAGATAAATACCGTATTTTTCGCTGTATAGGACACACTTTTTCCCCTCCAGAAATGAAGGGGAAATGTGTGTGTGTCCTATGGAGCGAATGCAGGCTTCAGGAAGCTATCCGCAAGCCTTCGGAGCGCTCCGAAGGCTTGCGGATAGCAGCCTGCAGCCCGAACCGTGTGGCGCGCTGCACAGTGTGCCCCGGGCTTTGGGCAGATATCCGCAAGCCTTGGGAGCTGGGTGGGAGTTCCCGCCGGGCTCCCAAGGCTTGCAGATAGCAGCCTCCAAACCCGACCTGGTTTGGAGGCTGGCGGTGGGGGAAAGCAGCGCTTCTCCCCACCACCAGCCCCACAAGCTCGAGGGACAGCGGGGAGGCGGAGCGCTGCCTTCCTGCTGTTCCCCGACCTGGTCTTTGGGGCTGGCGGTGGGGGAAAGCAGCACTCCTCCCCCCCCCCAGCCCCAAAGAGCAGTTCGAAAGGAACCAAAGCTCCAGAGGCTTCGGGTGAACGCACCTTGAACGCACAGAACGCACCTTGTTTTAGAGGGGGAGAACAAGAAAAAAATTTCCCCCCCCTGTTCTCCCCTTCCTATGGTCCGGTGCGTCCTATGGTCCGGTGCGTCCAATAGAGCGAAAAATACGGTAGGTGCCGCTCCAGTGGGAAGGTAAACGGCGTTTCGTGTGCTGCTCTGGTTCACCAGAAGCGGCTTAGTCATGCTGGCCACATGACCCGGAAGCTGTATGCCGGATCCCTTGGCCAATAAAGCGAGATGAGCGCCGCAACCCCAGAGTCATCCGCGACTGGACCTAATGGTAAGGGGTCCCTTTACCTTTACCTTTACTACCACTTGCAAGCAGGTACAGAGGAAAAGTTTGCGCTTTGAAATGCCGCGTGTCCCAGAAATGGTGAGTCGAGCTCATTAATGGCCCATCTAATAAATAAATCATCCCTGGTGCTTTCTTACAGACCGACTGCGTCTTTTAAAAGACGGGGAATGCTTTGCTGCACAGACTGCAAATGTGAGCTGTTAGAAATTTATGGTCACTTACCTCCTCCCCAGGTTTAGAAACAGACAAAATTATTCACCGTAGGCATCACGAGAGTGGCCATTTTATTTTGGATCCCTTTCCTGGTTATCCCAAACATGGAATTCACCTTTCTCACAGCTGCCGGGTTGACATTTTCCGGAGCAATCCGCTATGATCCCAAGAGCTCTTTTCTGTTACCGCCGGCTCAGTCCCCATCAGAAGCTGCGGTACAGAATATATTTTGCCCCCATGTGCCTCGCTGTATACTAATTTTTGCTGCACCGCATTTCATTACACATGTCACTTGCCATCGGTCTGCCGCGAGTCCGTTACTGACAAAAAACAAAACAAAGCAGCCGCTAAAGGACTCTAGCATTATTGCAAAACGCTGTGACATGGGCTTTGGGCATACAGTTTAGCAACGTGATTGAAAAAAATGCAGATATTATGAGTGCCTGATTTATCTCCCTTGGTTTGGTTTTCAGCACAGTCCAGCCGGTGGTTTTTTTACAGCTGCAAACTGCAAGGAGGAGGAGGCCAGCCCTGAAGAGGAATCGGAAAATCAACTGCTTTGAATCTTCAGGTGCTGGCAGGTACGTTCAAGTCTCTTGGCTGTGAATGTGTAGGATTTCATCGCATGGCATGGTTTCCTGTTCTGGGAGATCTTATATACATAAGAAGCTCCTACCTTCATGTGGGAGGAAAGTTTTTATTGGAGACGACCAAGTGTGATGGCTTGGGAATACTCTTCGCAAGAAATGCTTCTGCTGACTCAGAGATACATAGATACAGCCTTTATTTTACATATGTACAAGCAGCACACATAATTACACGTCCGAATCCTGTGAGTCAGATTCCCGGAGTGATTTACGTCCGCCCCTTTTCCAGCAGAAGAGGCAAGGCATTCTCAATTGATGTCTCTGCCCCCTCTGCTTTAACCCTCTCCGTTCCTGAGCAGATGGAACTGGCACTGCATCGCTGTCAGTGCCAGAACTTCCTGTGTGGAGTTGAGGCTCTGCTCCAGCATCTGAGAGCCTTTCCTCCTCCTGGCTTTCCCCCCTTTCCTGCACTGGCTCTTCCTGCCCCCCTTCATCTGCTCGTCTCTCCTCCTCCCCTTCGTTCTCCGTCAATACAATGACACCAAGGCGTTCAGAAAAATCCATGTGGCCCTGACTTCCTAGGACTCTGACTACAACTCCCATCATCCCTAACCACTGGTCCTGGTACCTAGGAATGATGGGAGTTGTAGTCCCAAAAAACAGCCGGAGACCCAAGTTTGGGAAACCCTGAACTAGACCAATGAAATGACAAGGTGCGTTTTTTTGTTTTCTTCCTGATCTCACATCTAAAGCTGCTATCTTCTGCTGCTCTTGTGTGGAATCAAAGTAGCTCACCCCTAAGCCGCACGGGAGATTGCAGCCTAGGAAAATGGATTTTCTGCCAAGAAATAGCCTATCGCTTAGATATAGCACGCTTGGAGAAAATGTGCGGTAGTTTGTTGGCACTGAACCGTATCCCCGACCGTCGTAAGCAGAGAGCTTTTAAAGCTGTGGGACTAGTTTGGTAGGAACAGGGGGAAAAAATATTCAGTTGCCTTCTCTTTTTTCCATGGTTGAAAACTATTTTTCTTTTCCAGTTTTCTTCATGTGTGTATATGCTTGCCCTCTTCTTTAGATGTTTAATTGCCTTAAAAGCACAACAATTTTCCTGTCTGCCTCCCAGGCAAACTCTGGAGCTTTACAAAATGGTAAAGGTAAAGGGACCCCTGTCCAGTCCAGTCGTGACCGACTCTGGGGTTGCGGTGCTCATCTCGCTTTATTGGCCGAGGGAGCCGGCGTACAGCTTCCGAGTCATGTGGCCAGCATGACTAAGCCGCTTCTGGCGAACCAGAGCAGCGCACGGAAACGCCGTTTACCTTCCCGCCAGAGCGGTACCTATTTATCTACTTGCACTGGCGTGCTTTCGAGCTGCTAGGTTGGCAGGAGCAGGGACCAAGCAACGGGAGCACACCCCGTTGTGGGGATTCGAACCGCCGACATTCTGATCGGCAAGCCCTAGGCTATGTGGTTTAACCCACAGCGCCACCCGCTTCCCTTACAAAATGGTACCAGGTCTCAATGATGCTACCATTTGTGGGTTTTCAGGAACAACAGCAAATAATCCCAAGTGGAAGGCTGACCTCAGGGAGGCTGGTAAATTGAGGTGACCCAGCTGGAGCAATCGGAAACTGCTGACCTGGCGGGTGGAGCATGCTCAGACTGCCTCTGCAGGAGGAGTCGAGAGACAGGCATTTTGGGTTTGCAAATGAAACACAAAACTCCTGCTCTTGCAGCTGTTACAGAGCTTTGGCAGGGGGCGGGGAATGGGCAGGAAAACTACAGAGCTTGTTTCCTTGCAAGAAAGCTTCTTCAGGGTTTCCTCCTCCCCAGACCCTCCAAGTCTCCCTATTTTCCAGGGACAGTCCTGGATTTACAGAAGCCGTCCAAGTTTCTGATCTGATGTCCCTGTATATCATCTAGCTTCCGGTAAGAGGTTTGGTGCTGTTTGTAGGAAGCGTTAATGCTTAACTCAGTGCAGCCCTTACAAATACAGTGGTACCTCGGGTGAAGTACTTAATTCGTTCCGGAGGTCAGTTCTTAACCTGAAACTGTTCTTAACCTGAAGCACCACTTTAGCTAATGGGGCCTCTTGCTGCTGCCGCGCTGCCGGAGCACGATTTCTGTTCTCATCCTGAAGCAAAGTTCTTAACCTGAAGCACTATTTCTGGCTTAGCGGAGTCTGTAACCTGAACCATATGTAACCTGAAGTGTATGTAACCCGAGGTACCACTGTATCTCTCTTTTCCATGGTCAGTCTCGGATGTACAGAAGCCGTCCCGGTTCAAATTTGATCCCGGAATGTCCTGCTTTCCCTTAGGACGCCCTTATTTTCATCTGAGAAATGTTGGAGGGTGTGGAATAGGGCGTCCCTATTTTCATTGGAGAAATGTTGGAGGGTATGGAGTTATGTGACCCCCCACCGAGCCAAGAAGATAACTACCGTATTGGCTCAAATATAAGCCGCCCCCGAATATAAGCCATACCTTATAAAGAAAAAAACGACAATACCTGAATATAAGCTGCTCCCTTAAAATTCTGCAGTCACGCATACCTGCTCCGTTTTACCATATGTCTGTTTTAGCAGCAATATCATCAAAGCCCATTATTGTAAGGTCACAAATTTAAGCTGCAGTTTACGCAGTTTAGCTTTTCATGGTCGGAATTTGGTGGCTTTTGGCTTATATTCAAGCCAATACCGTATACAGCCTTTAGAAGACATATGAAGGCAGCCCTGTAAAAGGGAAGCTTTTAAATGTTTTATGTTTTATTATGCTTTTATATATGTTGGAAGCCACCCAGAGTGGCTGAGACAACTCAGTCAGATGGGTGGGGAATAAACAATAACATTATTATTATTATTATTATTATTATTATTATTATTATTAGCGTCCCTATTTTCATCGGAGAAATGTTGGAGGGTATGCCTTCCTTTCTCTTAGTGGGGGTGGGGTTTCACTTTCTTACTTTTTCTTCACTAAAGCGGGCTCAGGTGTGCATTCCTACATGTCCTGAACCCTTAATCTGCCCTTGACGACACTTCTGCATAGTAAAAAGAGGTGGCAATTTCTCGAAATTACTAAATTTGCTTGGCGGGTGTTAATTGCAGTCATGCTTTATTAGGCGTGCTGGTTACGCATAGAGATATTCAGTTGCTCATGCTGCTTTTATAAAAAGACCTTCTTTTGGTCAAGAGATGGGCAGGAGCGTGTGCCGTGCAGTATTTAACGGAACACTTCTCTTTTTCTCCACCATTTATTATTATTATTATTATTATTTATTAATTGTTTATACCCCACCCATCTGGCTGGGTTTCCCTAGCCACTCTGGGCGGCTCCCAACAGAATATTAAAAACACCATAAAACATTAAAAACTTCCCTAAACAGTGCTGCCTTCAAATGTCTTCTAAGCTTGTAGGTTGAGGAATAATGTTCATGTCATGTAATAATGTAATCATGACTGGGTTGGGATAACTTTAAAAAAAGTTTCGATTACCGCCCCCTCCACACTAGAGTTTAACTTGGCCCTCGGAGCTTTATGTTGATGGATTCAATGCCTATATATTGCCATGGAAAGGCTCTTGACCATTTCCTGCTTGTTGCCATCCTTGCCCAGCCTTTCTGGACAAGCTGCTATTTGTGTGTTTTTAGGTTGTTGGTCTCCTCCCTGATGAGAACATTTCTACTAGTATTCTTTCTTCCGGAAAGGAATACATCCAAAAGTCCTGCCTGGTCTGAGCCAGAGGAATAACATTGTGTACAGTCGTACCTTGGAAGCTGAACGGAATCCGTTCCGGAAGTCCGTTTGACTTCCAGAATGTTCAGAAACCAAACACGGCTTCTGATTGGCTGCAGGAAGCTCCTGCAGCCAATCAGAAGCTGCGGAAGCCCCGTCTGACATTCGGGTTCCAAAGAATGTTCACAAACCGGAACAGTCACTTCCAGGTTTGCGGCATTCGGGAGCCAAAGTACGACTGTACAGTGGTACCTCGGGTTACATACGCTTCAAGTTACATACACTTCAGGTTACACACTCTGCTAACCCAGAAATAGTGCTTCGGGTTAAGAACTTTGCTTCCGGATAAGAACAGAAATTGGGCTCTGGCGGCGCGGTGGCAGCAGGAGGCCCCATTAGCTAAAGTGGTGCTTCAGGTTAAGAACAGTTTCAGGTTAAGAACGGACCTCCGGAACGAATTAAGTACTTAACCTGAGTACCACTGTACTTTATTTTCCTCTCCATACACTCCTCCAGCAATGAACTTTTATAAGGCATAGTTGAGCAAACCGTTTTCTATTTGATAGCCATTTGGTAGCATCTGTGTCTCCATCTGCGGCGTGACATGTATTTTTGCACTGCTAAAATTAGAGAGGAATCTGTTTTGTGCAGCTGCTACGAAAAGTATTTTTGAATTTTTATCGGCATGTCTTCCTCTTTGCATAAAAGCTGGGAAATGTTTGAACTTACTTTTTATGTAAAAAAAGAAACTTTGCAGGAACATTCCCAAGATGATAATTAATTTTTCTCCGGGTTTCTGTCTCTCCTTCTTATTTTAGACCTTGTTCCGCAATGTTAAAGAGGACTCATGATGCCTCGCTCTTCCTCCGTCTTTGCCACCTGCCCGCCTGCTAGGGTTTGCGTCCAGAATGAACATAGCAGCTGTGTTTAATGCCTTGCTGGTGTCTCTCCTGGCAGCCGTGCTGTGGAAATACATCAAGCTGCGAGATCACGTCTTTGTGCTGGAAGAGGAGCTGGTCCTCACTCGCCAGACGCAGGAGCTTTCTCAGGTCCGCATCGACTACCATGCTGCTCTTCAAGCCCTGGTCCAAGATGGCACCAGGATGGTGTGCACCGGGAGGATGCACACGGACCGGATCTGCCGCTTCGAATCCCTCTGCTACTCCACGGAGGCAGAGGAGTTCATCTTCTTCCACAGCAACTCCTCGGTCATGCTCCCCAACTTGGGCTCCAGAAGATTCCAGCCTGCCCTCCTTGATCTCTCCTCGGTGGACGACCACAACACACAGTATTTCAACTTTGTAGAACTGCCTTCCGCCTCGCTCAAATACATGCCCAAGCCGGTGTTTGTCCCCGACGTGGCCCTGATTGTGAATCGATTCAACCCGGACAACCTGATGCACGTTTTCCACGACGATCTGCTCCCGATCTTCTACACCATGCAGCAGTTCCCAGATTTGGACTCGGACGCCCGGCTGTTTTTCATGGAAGGCTGGGGGGAAGGCCTGCACTTTGAGCTGTACAAGCTGTTGAGCACCAAGCAACCGCTTTTGAAAGAGCAGCTGAAGACTCTGGGTCGCCTCCTTTGCTTTACCAAGTCGTACGTGGGCCTGTCCAAAATCACCACCTGGTACCAGTACGGCTTCGTCCAGCCCCAGGGTCCCAAGGCTAACATCCTGGTCTCCGGGAACGAGATCCGACAGTTCACCAAATTCATGACGGAGAAGTTGAACGTGAGCTTGGAAGGAATGCCCAGCGAAGAATATATTGTAGTTTTCAGCCGGACCATCAACAGGCTAATCATCAATGAAGCAGAACTTATTCTGGCGCTGGCCCAGGAATTCCAGATGAAAACCATCACCGTTTCCATAGAAGACCACACTTTTTCAGATATCGTGCGCCTGATCAGCAACGCGTCTATGCTGGTCAGCATGCACGGAGCACAGCTCGCCATGTCCCTCTTCCTGCCCAGAGGAGCCACAGTAGTGGAACTCTTCCCATATGCCATAAACCCTGAGCATTACACCCCTTACAAAACGCTGTCTACGCTCCCTGGCATGGACCTTCAGTACATTGCCTGGACCAACACCGAGAAGGAGAACACGGTGACTTATCCGGACCGGCCTTGGGATCAAGGAGGAATTGCCCACTTGGACAAGGCAGAGCAAGACCGTATCGTAAAGAGCGGCGAAGTTCCGCGGCACCTCTGCTGCCGCAACCCCGAGTGGCTTTTCCGCATCTACCAGGACACAAAAGTCAACGTGGCTTCCCTGATCCAGGCCATCAGGCAAACGGTGAAAACGAAGCCTGGGCCCAAGAGGCAGAAGGGAACGAGTGGCCTCTACCCGGGCAAAGTCAGAGACGCCAAGTGCCAAACCTCCGTCCAGGGCACCAGCGAAGCAAAACTCTCTGTGTCCTGGCAGATCCCTTGGAACCTGAAGTATCTGAAGGTCAGGGAAGTGAAATACGAAGTGTGGATACAGGAGCAAGGGGAGAACACGTACATGCCTTTTATCTTGTCCCATCAGAACCACACCTTTTCCGACAACATCAAGCCCTTCGCAAACTACCTAGTGTGGATCCGTTGCATTTTCAACAAGAATCTCCTCGGACCCTTTGCAGATGTGCTGTTGTGCAGCACGTAATCACCAGCCAGTGTGGGATGGGGGATTTGATTCCACCAAGGGGCTTTCAAATAAAGCAGGCTGGTCCCGTCAACCTCTAGTTTCTCATGAGGTTGACCAGGACTTTGAAGACCCTGCTAGTGCCTCAGTCTCCATTTTATGGTGTTCCCTGTGTATTCTCTGCGTGGCATTATTTTCCGTCGCTGTCTGAGCTCTCTTGGTCCTTGAAAGAAGCCTACAGGCCAAGGAGGTGACGAAAATGAAATTGGAACAGAAGGCAGCCATTGTACCTTCACAGTGAATTTCAAAATCTCTCTTTTGTGTAGTGAATATTTTAAGCTCAGCTTTCTGACGTCTCTGGCTGGGCAATCTCTTTCGTATTCTCCACTGTTTATTTTTATGCTCCCCCCCAAAAAAAATATCTGTATCCCAGAGCAAAATATTTGGTACCAGAGTTCTTCATTAAATGGTTGAAAACCTACCCAGGCAATTTCTCTTTCTTTGATATTTATGCTTGAAATTTTCTGGAGGATCATTATATGATTAAGCTCGTGTGTGTGTTGATTTGTGTTATCAGTGCTTTTTTCTGAAAAATTGTTTAGGGGTGCTCTCATTTTCCTACTCATATTGAAATACTGCCCCTCAGTGAGGCCAAACTTAGATTCACAAAATGTTTAGGGGTATGTGTACCCCAGAAAAAAGGCACTGTGTATTATGATTGGTTTAACCGTACTATTTCACACCTTGTATCACCTAATGGCGCTTGCCCTTTTTGTTGAAATTGAAAACCGTTTAAATGTTAAAACAGAGTTTTTAAAAGGCAGGGAAAGTCATCTACTTGCACTGTTGTGCTTTTGAACTGCTAGGTTGGCAGGAGCTGGGACAGAGCAACGGGAGCTGAGGATTTCAATCCTGCCACGCGGATTTGAATCGCCAACATTCTGATCTGCAAGCCCAAGGTGGTTTAGATCACCACGCCACCCGCATCCCATGTACACAAGTATTGTGATGTGTACCACTTTCCAGTTTTGACGAGCAGATTTATAAAAGAGCTCAAAATCAGATTTATGTTCAATTGATAGCAACATTCCATGCTGTTTTGTGCTCAGATAATTGTTGAACTATGAGAAATATCATTTGAAATTGAGTGAAAAGGATAAGCAGGCATCAGCGTTCCAAAGTCAGCATTTCAGTGCTGTAAGTTGGAGTGGCTGAGTGTAACCTGATTCCCTTTTTTTGATACCTGCTCCCCCTCCCCCCCCCCATACAACGACAAACAAAAGGGACAACAAACAGACATGGAATTCAGCATATTATTTTCAGGGTGCATTTAGTAATACACAGAGGAGGCTGATCCATTGGGGCTAATGTACAGCCCCTCTAACTACAGCCTGCCTTCATACCCTCCAACATTCTTTAGACAAAATAAGGGACATACCTAATAATAATTAACAACAGCAATTTATTATTTATACCCCGCCCATCTAGTTGGGTTTCCCCAGCCACTCTGGGCGGCTCCCAACAGAATATTAAAAACACGATAAAACATCAAACATTGAAAACTTTCCTAAACAGGGCTGCCTTCAGATGTCTTCTAAAAGTCGGATAGTTGTTTATTGCTTTGACATCTGATGGGAGGGCGTTCCACAGGGTGGGCACCACTACCGAGAAGGCCCTCTGCCTGGTTCCCTGTAACCTCACTTCTTGCAGTGAGGGAACTTCCAGAAGGCCCTCGGCACTGGATCTCAGCTGAACGATGGCGGTGGAGACGCTCCTTCAGGTATACTGGGCCGAGGCCATTTAGGGCTTTAAATGTCAGCACCATCACTTTGAATTGCACTCGGAAACGTACTGGGAGCCAATGTAGGTCTTTCAGGACCAGTGTTATGTGGTCTCAGCGGCCGCTTCCAGTCACCAAGTCTAGCAGCCACATTCTGGATTAGTTGCAGTTTCTGGGTCACCTTCAAAAGTAGCCCCACATAGAGTGCATTGCAGTAGTCCAAGTGGGAGATAACCAGAGCATGCACCACTCTGGCGAGACAGTCCACGGGCAGGTGGGGTCTCAACCTGCGTACCAGATGGAGCTGGTAAACAGCTGCCCTGGGCACAGAACAGACCTGGGCCTCCATGGACAGCTGTGAGTCCAAAATGACTCCCAGGCTGTGCACCTGGTCTTATGGTCTTGGCCACTCCCAGTCACCAGTCTAGCTGCCCTAACAACATTCAGCACCCTCAGCAAACCACAGTTCCCAGGATTCTTGTTTAGTGATCATTTTTAAAGTGGAGGGGGAATGGGTTTGGGGTAGGTGGTGCACAGGTCCTGGGTTAAGCACGCATGTGCACATTTCCTCTTTGTGGGACGCACCCTTCCCTTCATCATTTTCCAGCTGTTTGGTGGAAACAGCATTTTCCAGCTTCCCAGGTCCAGGTTTACTGTTGAACAGGTAAGGGAACCTTTTGCCTCAGCGATAAACTGTTTTAAGTAACATCATGGAAACGTGCGCGTGGCAATTGTGCAAACGTGAACGTCCGTTAGCTGGGGCACTCATGCGCACATCCTCATTTTTCACATGTGACGCTGAGCCGTTTATTGGTCCGCCCCCTCTGCAGCCATCATAACTGTTAAGTTGTGGGTGAACATATCAGACGACACAGCGATTCTTCGAACAGCTCTTGTTTATTCACAGGCCAGAACAGAACTGAACTGAAGGGTTCAGCCAGCCTGCTTATATAGAGCTCCAGTACAACATAACTGTAACAATTTTCTAAAACTATCCAATCACTGAACGTCATTTTCGATCCCTTATTTGCATAACTGTCTACAGTATCCCCCTGCTGGCCCAGGGTGAGAACTTCAGTACATAACAATAACGGCTCGACGGAGAGGAATCTCTGCAAATTGATTTTAGTTGCCATCAAATCGGCAAACCACCGCGAGGAGAAGGTTCGTTGGAAAATAATGACACCCTTTGGGCTTTCATTTATCCATTAGCATCTGTCAGCTGCTTCAAGCCATATATTTATATTGGGATTAATGAGATCAGATGAGACCCCGTGGGCTGTAGCTTCTTTCCGTAGCAGGTTTCGGGATCTTTGACTCGCTCTTAGATGGACAGGATGGGTCTCACGTTGGCAAAACTTACCGGAAGAATAAGAAATCAAGACGGACTTTTTAGAAAGGAACGGAAGTGGTTCGTTGATTTTTTGCAAACAGACTGTAAACAGAACTAGACATTGGCAGGATTATTGTAAAAACCTGCAGTTTTAAAAAAATATACAGTGGTACTTCAGTTTTCGAACATCTCCATTGACGAACGTTTCGGAACTCAAATACCATAAATCCAGAAGTAAATGTTTCAAGCACACCTTGGAAGTCGAACCGGAAACGCACTTTCTGTATTGAGTTTTCCATACAGTGGTACCTCGAGTAAAGTACTTAATTTGTTCCGGAGGTCTGTACTTAACCTGAAACTGTTCTTAACCTGAAGCCCACTTTAGCTAATGGGGCCTCCTGCTGCTGCCGCACTGCCGGAGCACGATTTCTGTTCTCGTCCTGAAGCAAAGTTCTTAACTTGAAGCACTATTTCTGGGTTAGCGGAGTCTAACCTGAAGCGTATGTAACCTGAAGCGTATGTAACCCGAGGTACCACTGTATTGAGATTTCTGTTTTGAGTTTTCAGTTTTTGAACGTTTCAGAACTCAAACAGTCTTCTGGAACAGATTACATTTGAAAACCAACGTACCACTGTATATGAGAAAATATATGAGAATAGACAACTGAAAAAATAAGTTTTGGCAATTTCAAGTAGGCAGGAAAGGAAGAAAATAAATGTAAGGAACTGCAGAAAGAGGGGGAAGGGGGTCAAAATTGAAAATGTTAAAACTTGGTTCAATAATTGTTGCAATGTATATAAATGAAAATTATAAATATTTTTATTTTTATTTTAAAAGGATGGGTCTCACATAATTGAATCATCCCCTATACAAATGGCAAATCAAGCTGTTGGACTACGCCAAAATGGCAAAACTGACAGGGAAGCTCAGGAACCAAGAAGACAAAAACTTTAAGAAAGAATGTGAAAAATTTAGAATTTATTTAGGAGACCACTGTAAGCAGATGAAAACATTAGCAGGATTTTAATATCACTTGTAATGTAACAAACACTTTGGATAATATGGACAGATACAAAATATAGGTTATGAAATAATATGCAGTTGAAAATGTTGACAGTAAGATCCATGGAAGGGATGGTGGGAAGTCTAGAATTTCAGAGCCACCTATACAGTGGTACCTCAGGTTACAGATGCTTCAAGTTACAGACTCCGCTAACCCAGAAATAGTACCTCGGGTTAAGAACTTTGCTTCAGGATGAGAACAGAAATTGTGCGGTAGCAGCAGGAGGCCCCATTAGCTAAAGTGGTACCTCAGGTTAAGAACAGTTTCAGGTTAAGAACGGACCTCCGGAACAAATTAAGTTCTGAACCCGAGGTACCACTGTATATGGATGTGCATTTGGTATTGTTATAAATTTATATTTGTAAAACCAAATAAAAACGATTTCCAAAGAAAAGAAAAGAATGATCCCTTGTATGAAACATCCCTCAAAACGAGGATCCACACCAAACTAAATGCCGTATCATACCACTTTAAATGATGTTTAAACAAGAATCCTGATAACTGTAGCTTAAGGGTGCTGAGAGGTGTTAGTAGATCCTGATTCCCATCACAGAGTTACAATTCTTAACAATTCAGGGAAGCCTGGAAATTGGAGCTCTGTGTGGGGAAATGGGGTATCCTAACAACAACATTAATAAACTACAGTTCCAGCATTTTGGGGTGGGGGGGAAGCAATGTGATGTAAACCCAATCTTAGATAATTTAGGTAGCTGTGAAGAGGCAGGAATCTTTATTCCCAGTAACTGCTTCATGGCGGGCAAGGCCTGAGTTGCTGAGCTCATTAGGTCTGACTCTCCTTTGCAGATCCTGTTCTGCTAATAAAAGAGTTACCGTATTTTTCGCCCCATAGAACACACTTTTTCCCCCTCCAAAAATGAAGGGGAAATGTGTGTGCGTCCTATGGGGCGAATGCAGGCTTTCGCTGAAGCCTGGAGAGCGAGAGGCATCGGTGCGGACCGACCCCTCTCGCTCTCCAGGCTTCAGGAAGCTACCCGCAAGCCTTGCAAGCCCGGCGGGAGTTCCCGCGGGCTCACAAGGCTTGCGGGCAGCAGCCTGCAGCCCCGGCGAGTGTCCGCAAGCCTTGCGCGCCCGGCAGGAGGTCCCGCCGAGCGCGCAAGGCTTGGGGCGGCAGCCTGTCGCCCGAAGCACGGGGAGCCCTCCGGAGGGTGCCCCGTGCTTCGGGCAGGTGTGCGCAAGGCTTGGGGCGGCAGCCGCGGTGGGGGGGGAATATATATTTTTTTATTCATTTCCCCCCCCCCAAAAAAAACGAGGTGCGTCCTATGGGCCGATGCGCCCTATAGGACGAAAAATA